TACAATTTAAGTTTGTCAATTTTACTAGTAATATTTTTTTCAGTGTGTTTGGACAGTCCGGCATGCTCTAATATCAACCGATAAAATATTTTCTCAAATTGATACAACACTCTATGTACCCATATTATTATGGACAATTAATGGTGGCTGCCACTTTCTCAAATGTATACAAGAAAAGTTTTTTATACTTAATGGTTGAAAATTGGATACAAATATTTTCTTAAGATTTTCATTATGATTTTGTTATAAAATATAATTTTAAAGAAATTGGATGGTTAAACTAATATTCCATTAAATTATTTTAGTTATTTAATTAAATTTAATGTTAATATTAATATTAATATTAATACATCGTGGATTAAATCGTTTCATAACAAGCGGTTTGCGATATCATATTATATTTATAAAATATTAAATTGATAGAATATATTATGTTAGAACATATCTTTATTAACAATTAATTACAATTTATTCTTAAATATATAACAACACAATGTTTTTAGTATTATTTTATAATGCGATACTAACTGAATAGTGTTCTGAATTCTGATTTTTTGAGTTATATTTCAACTTATATTATTTATTTGCCGAAGCAGCATTCATATTCTCAAATAATTTGATTAAACGTCTCACAGTACCATGTTTAAAATTAAGTTTTTCTTTTTCAATCAAGTTTAATCCTTCGCGGTCCCCACCACCAAGTTCTTTTCTTATATCATATATTACCGACACATTGTTAACATTGTTATCGAAACTGTTGACAGGTTTTTTCATGATGGTGTTGTAATGATGAACCACCGCTGGAACTTGAAATTTTTTAACTTTTATGTCTTTATTGAATCGATCAGACAGTTTATAGCAGAAACACTTAATAAGCTGGTCCGTGAAATAACACCTGAAGACTTTTTATGGTACGTGACATGGCTACGGAATGCTGCTCAACGAGGCGGGCGGTTTATTAGATACAACAAAATATGTGTTCCAAATTCTCTTTCAAACAACCCCAAAATCTCAGGAAGTACGGGATTATGTTGGTCGTTGGTTGAAGCAGACAACAATTTTAATCAAGATATTATACTCAGGTAAAACTTAAGTTATTTGTAAGCCTACAAAAGCAATTGGCCAAGACGAGATTGGACCATACAACATCAAATTTAACCACTGGAAGTCGAGAACCAATGGTTCATCATTTGATCCAGAACCAGAGACAATTAATGCGATATATGCGGTTTTGAATGAATATAACAATCCCTCTCATCCAATCGAAAAGGAAGCCAAAAAATATGTCAGAAAAAGAAGATCAGTGGATGATTGTCGGATGTTGTCGCCTTCTCGAAGAGTCAGAAAACGTGTAGAAATCACCCAACCAACAGCTTGCTGTACCGAAAATGTAGAGGACATCGCTGGATCATCGCAAAACGTAGTATGGCAACAGGATATAAAAGGTGGGGACACCGTTAATGTGGTTTCCATTGGGTACCCGTACTTAGCCGGGGTTGTCACAAAAGTAGAAGGGAACATAGTCTATGTGACATTCCCAAAAAGCAGAAACACAGGTCCCTTTGAATATTCCATGGACCAAATACGGCATTACATAACACAGTTCCCAAATTGAAGATTTAATCCGATAAAATTGGTGCAGTCCCGACCAATAGCATCTCAAAGGATAATGGTCAAGACATATGAAGACCGATTAAAAAACTATCTACAAAATATTTAAATATTCAAAATAGACTTCTAAAATTTTAAAAAATATACAGTTTGCTTTTAAATATTGTTGACTACATTGTTCTAAAGTTTCAGAAATAAGTAATATAGTTTTGAGTTCAGTGGGTAAATATTTAAGATACTACCAAGCCAATGAAGTACGTTATATCTAGTTTTTACGCACTTAGAGCCATTCATGTTGCATAATGCATAATCAGAACGTCGGCTCCATGATATTTGGAGGAGGGTCAACAAACTCGCAGGGATGGTAGCTTAGTGTACTTGCTACGAGCTGTGTAAGTTTCAAATTAATAGATCGAAGAGGTGATTTTATAAAAATTTTCGAAATGGAATTTAGTGTTCATCAGGTCGTTTTTTCTGACTTCGGAGGAAGATATTAAATCGGACGAATCGCTATTAGGTAAAAATGAACAAATAAATATTGGGCATTTTAAAAATCTGCAAATCTGTATTCCGATTCCATACATAACACCACCAAGATCTAAATTTTTATGTTTCGGAGCAAGAGATTAAATCGGATTATCAATCGTCATTGGCTGGCGAGCAAGTTTTGTGATAAATTCGTTGAACCCAATTCGCTGTAATTTAACGGTCTATTAGACTGTTAGTCTATCTACATGTCTCGTCTGGAGTGGTTAACTGGAGTGGTGCCTTCGGTATCATCAACATTCCATTGGACACCAACAGAACGTTTTAAGGGCACAGCAGAAAACTTTTGTCCTTCCGAATAACTCCTTACTTCTCCTACTGTATATTCTGAGTCTGCTGGTTTGTACCTGATTTGAGTAGGTGACTTGCTGCTTTTAAATTTATCATTGACATTATTTTTTTTTCTTTGACGTCCTTAGCTATGTTGCTGTCGCTTTGTAATTTAGTGGATTTACATGTGACTAAAAATAACAAGAAAAATAAGTTAATTAAGCACTTATAAATCTTATTATTCTACTTTAGTTATAATTTTGATATTTTTTTCTCGTCGTTAACACCAAATATAAAATGTTTTAAACTAATTTAAGATTATGGTTAATTTGACGAATGTACTAATTTTTTTGAGTAGTTAATAATATTGATATATAAAATAAAATAATGTGAAACATCTACTATACGAAAAATTCGGTGACAAAAGAACCTTAGGAAAAACATTATCTTTATAAACGACGAATTGTTGAAAATAATTTTTTTTAGATTTTACGTCCTGAAGATTTTCATTCCTTTGTATTTTAAACAAAGAGTTCCTGGTTGGGAATTATCTGGTAGTGGAAATTTAGGACCATGTCCAGGAATACCAGGAACCCATGCTATAACATCCATGTTTTTGATACAGCGAGGGCGGTTTTCCATTTCAACTGTAAACATAAATAACAATAATAATTAATAAGTAAATATAATATTTACTAAAGGATAAATAATATAATACTATTGACTGACTTTTGGATATGTATTTCTTTTTTATTTATGTATTCACTAATACAGTGTGCAGTATATATTGTATACTAGATACTTATATTATATATTCATATAAAATAAGATTCTATTTGTAATTGAAATATTTCACAAAATATGAATAATTTCTACTGGAACGATTGAAGATTAAGTAATAATTTCTATTGATGTTTATAATATTTAGCGAAACTAAATTGTTTATAGAAAATAAATATTTTAGCCAGACTTGTTTATGTCTAAACCTTTTATCATTTTATCAATTGTCGACCTTTTTTAAAATTGTGCTTGTTGTTATAGTTTTTTGTTAACTTAATTTTAAATTGTCAGAATATTAAGAAAATATATTTTTGTTATTCTTATGATTTATTTTCTTAAATACAATACTTCACGCCACTGGGGCATAGCCTTTATACTAGATATACCACTTGTGACATCAAACGTTATAAAGAAAACGCCGATTTAAATTATGACATAGTTTCATATTTATTTTAATTACAATTTACAAATTACAATAAGTACATCATTTTTATAATATTATACATTTTTTTAATTAATATTAAAGTTATAAAAGGTCAAACAAATATTATATTAAAAATAAGTCTCATTTATATATTTATTCATATTATATTAAGGGGATTCGATCCGGATTACGTTTTCTATCAAAATATACCTATATTCTGCCAATTGTACTGAACTGCCCAATGATCGGATAAGACTCATACAAACATATTTGAATTCGTCATGAAGTTGACTTGAAAACGACTTTTTTACTTTTTTGAATTATTATTTTTATACCCTTAAAAAATTGATTTTAAAATCTAAAATAATAATAAATTTAAATTGTAAATAATATGAAATTGATAAAATAATTTGAAAATGTAAAAAAGTCGATTTCAAGTAAATGTCGGCGTGGCAAGTGCCCAACAATAATAGAGGGCTGGCTTGTTCGCCAGGAAGTAAAAAATAATAATAATATATATAAATAAATTCACAGATTATATTAATAAAATTTAAGTAAATGATAAATAATACATAAAAGCCAAAATGGTACAATAGTTGTAGGTAGTATAATTAAATAAAAAAAAGGTACAACTGCCTGTTTGGCACAACAATAATAATAAATAATTTGCCTATGGCGGCTACAAAATGATAATCAATATATATATATTAATTATTAAATAATAAACAATGTGGCCCATACGGCACACAATAATTTGAAATACACAAATGAATAATAATAATTTGGCCTAAAACGGCACACCGAATGAATAATAAATAAATCACTATGTGGCCCACACGGCACACACTAAATAATAATATAATAATGTAAATAATAATAATATATAAATATAAATAAATAATATACGGCCACACGGCACGCAACACAAAATAATTTAAATAAAATACGTGGCCCACATGGCGCGCGCAAAATAATAATTCAATTTATAATAATAATTTGCCTATGACGGCACACCGCAGTGTATGAATAAAATATATATATATATATATCAATAATGTGGTAGATGCCTATGTTGGCCAATGCAAAATAATACAATATAAATAATATGCCTACGACGGCTGATGCAAAATAATAAAATAACGTGCCTACAACGGCTGAGGCCTGTCGGCCTTTAACACAATGAAACAAATATGGTCGACCAATACTCACATAACATGTGACTATGTTGAGTGGCTGATTGCATCCACGCGACTGCACCAACCCTGTGACTAGACAAATGCCTTAGACGGCACACCGCAGTGTATAAATGGCTGCGGACGTACGGACTTGACAAAAATGAAATTAGATGTGCACACCACGAAGACACAAAAACGAGAGCGAGATGGGTCCGACGACATTCACCACGAAGGCTAAGGCCGCCGGACACCACAATGAAGATAAATGTCTCAGTGCCACCACACTAAACCAAAAATACACGAGAACTTAGAAACTTTGGCACTGAGAACATGACTTTTACTTTTACAAAAACATAACCGACAATATGAAGAAAACGTGGAATAACGGGCATTCTCGTACGACGATAACAGCGCGATAACGTATCCGGCCGGTCGCACACGGAGGCTTATCATCGCCGCCGACGAGGGCCGCGAATACGCAACGCACCGCTACGCATCGCACGAAAATGATGACATGAACAAATTTTACACAAACAATATATACAGCGCGAACAGTAAACTTCATGACTAATTCAAATATGTTTTTAGAAGTTTTATCCGATGACAAAGGAAACCAGTATGATTGGCAAAAAATTAATTCTTTTTCGAAAAAAATAGAACTAAATCATATTCCTCGCAACAGTGTGTACTGACTTGGGCATGCCGCGTGTGGAAGTAACCCTCTTCTGCTAATCGTTACCGCGCCGGCGCGGCGCCGCTAATTATAGTGTCCGCATCGTTATCAATCTGTTTATTTTATATTATATTATACCAAAATGAAATTGGGCTAAATATTGCAATAATTCAAAAGCCTAGAAATAAACTCTCAATGATAAGACATAGGTAATTTTGTAAATGAAAATGAAAATGTTAGAAATCAGCTATAGTAGCTCATTCATATTTGATTTATAGTACAGCTTAAATATATAAAAATAAATTCTGTGATATCTACATCATGCAGAACGTTTTGCCAAAAAAACGTCACAGAAAATATCTTATAAAAAAACATCGAGGAAATTTTAATGCACTTAAAAAATGGAGAGAAAATCGTACAACTGACATGGTAAATCAAAATAGCTATATATTAATTATGATGTGTATTTGATAGCTATTTTTAATTTATTAAATATTTATTATATAGACGGACAGAAATGTTTCAACATTGGAGAATGAACCTAGTCATGGAACTAATACTTCAATGTAAGTCAATACATTTGTTTAGAGTTTTGATGAACGATTTGTGCGGATAATCAAACTAGGTTTAAAAATATAACTTATGTGTTATATTTATAATCAATGGTACGCTTAATCAGCGGCGCACGCAGAGGAGGTTCAAGGGTTTGTAACTGCCTCTCGAAATTTTCTCTTATGTCTAGGTTAAAATTTATAATCTATAATGTATTTAAGATCAATTCATATGTATACTTAAAATACTCATGTGGCTAATTATAAAAAATTATGTTTATTTTTGTAAAAAGTTGATATTTTTGTTGTTGAAATAATCGTATTTAATAATTTCATGACCAAACATATGCATAAATATAAAAATAAAGATATAGTCTCAGTTATAATTTTATTTAAATTTCAAATACCTATTAATAGCATATATACTACCGAAATCTTTTGAATTTATATTATCTCTAGTAAACTTTTATATAAGTGTTCTGTATAAATGTCAACTCTTTCAGTTTATTATTTTTTGAGTAACGATTAAATAACCAACAATCGTAAAACGTAATCGATACCGTAGAAACACCCGATATCATCATTTGGGAAAAAGACTGACAGTGGCGTTAAGTCATATGTTCTTAGCAATTAAATAAACTATAGTCACGATGGAAAATTAACAAACTTTCTGAGAGGACCGGAACGAATTAGTTATAGAAAAGAGGCATTTCAATCCACTGGCTTTGAGGCAAAAACATGTTTTGAAATGTTCTCCTAGTAAGTTAAAACGAGGGAACCTTCAACAAATAAGATCACTAGTGTTTATAAAAGAGTGTCACATGAAATGTTGATTCATTTTGATTACAACAACGATGATGACAGAGTAGAGATATGGTACAAATGGCTTCTGAAAACTCAGAATTTGTAAAATATGTATCACACTCCCAAAGTCGTAACTTTGAATGTTACATTTTTAGTAAAGAACAATTGATGGTTTTGCATAAACTCAAACAAGTCACATTAAATGTTGACGTAACAGGTACAGTAATAAGATCGTCAAAGAAAAAACAAGAAAAACGTTAATTGTACTATGCGGCGGTAATAAAAGCAAACGATCACATGATGCCAGTCGCGGAATTCATAAGCACCAATCATTCGGCATTAGCTATTTCCAGTTGGCTATATGCATTTAAAAGGTTTGCAACAGAACACGTCTTTGTCCTGTCAGATTTAATTGTGAACGTGACGAGTGATTTCTCCACGGCAATAATAAAATCGTTGGCACAGGCTTTTAACGGTTGCACAGATGTTATTGATTACTTAGACGAATGTTATGATTACTTGTATGATCATAAAACAAATGAAATCAAAAAACCTTACTTAATTTGTGTTGCTGTCATTTAGTGAAAAATATTT